GAACGCGAGAGGCCGCTGCGCATGCGGGCCACCGGAGAGCACGCCGCCGCCGCCATCCCCGTCCGCGCCTCGCCGTCGCCGCCCACGCCCCACACGGAGGACGACGCCGAGCGGAGGCGCCGACGCCGGCCCGCGCGCCGCCCCAAGCAGGCCACCCCGCCGCCGCCCCCGCAGGTCGACGCGGCGGGGCCCAGCCCGTGCAGATCGATGCCGCCCACGCGCGCCGACTCCCGGCTCGACGCCGTGGCGCTGGCCGAGGCGGCCGGGACCAGCCGGTCCTGCCCCCTGCTGCCCACGCCCTCCCGCGTCGAGGCGCGCGGTCCGGTGGTGGGGACGGGCGCGGGGGCTCCCAGGAGGCTCTTCTTCCCGCCCTACTGGCCCGAGCAGATCGTGGAGGACGCCCTCAAGGTATAGCGGATCGTGTCGCTTGCAGCTTTGCCGTAGCTCGAACTTTGCGTGAACTAATGTATATTGATTTGTTTTTGAGAGAAGTAATGTGTTGATTTGTTGTTGCCTCCTCTACGCAGAGAGGGAATGTCTTCGCGGGGAAGTTCCGCGTGAATGCTCACAACCGAAACGAGGTAAGCATGGAGTCCTTCTTCCTGATTTGCTTCTTACTGTGCTGTCTCTGTTCTACTGGTGGGTAATGTTTGGAATATGTCATGTTGCAGGCGTACTGCACGGTCGATGGCATCCCTGTGGATGTTCTCATTACTGGGCCGGCACAAAACCGAGCGGTAAGTTCACGTCTGCTTGCACACACTGCAACATGAGTGTATCTAGTAAGAAGTGAGGTGCTAACCGTGTACGGTAATTTATAGCAATCCCATACACTACTATTAGTGGATAGTGCAAAGGCTTAATGATGCTTCCAGCCTGTCATTCTGCCTTGAATTGCACGCTAACTGATTTGCCATTTTGGGAAGTATAATGTGCTAGGAACTCAGGTGACACAATGCTTGTCATATATGGCAGGAGGCGAGTCTAAGAACAAAAATTTTGTACGATGTTTGCCATTGCATCTTCTGCTGTTAAGTTGTTTTGTGATGCCACAGGATTGGACATTCAATTTGTGTTCAACTTTCGATTGCTTGTGACTTTGCAAAATATATATGTAGAACCTATGTCTAGCTTGCTTTCCCACAAATTGGTCAAGCACATTGGGAGAATTACCTGCTCTTGGCGTGATTTTGAGTCGACTCTAAACACATGGATGAAGTGGTATGCCCCTTAGGCCAAATAGCATGCTTGAAGCTCTTGCATTTGAAAATGATTTAAGCAAAGCTGCATGATACATTATGTTTATGCTGTGGTCATTTTTCTGAATGTTCTGCTGAAGATGTTGTGCCCTTGTTCGCCTTTCCCGTGGGCAATATTAACCTGCATTCTTTATGCAACCACCTTGTCTGTTTCTGACTTTCTGTCTATAATCCTGAGAAAACATTCTCTCAGGACGTCTTATTTAGTAGTACAAACAATTCATGCAGTGAATTAATTTAGCTGATGCGTTTCTAAGAAAGCATTCTCTTTCCTTGATGTGTTATATGAATAGATATGAATTATGAATGTTCAGTTCTGATCTTGCGTTTCTTACTATATATACCCAGAGTACATGGTTCTCTTACTTGCAATGACATGCTCTTTATTGACCCACTTTGCAGATTGAAGGTGATGTTGTCGCCATCACATTGGATCCTGTTGTTTACTGGACTAGAATGAAAGGGCAGAACATTGCATGCAACCCTGCCACTGGAGGAGTTTCTGTTGCTCGTGAAGTTAGTGAAACAAATGGGAACCATAGTTTGAAGAAAGGACAGGCAGATGCCAGCTGCAGGTTTGAAAAGTGCAGTAATGGCCAACCTGTTCCGGACAGGATGCATAACCATCACAAGAACAGTGGTTTTAGTCAAGCTGTTATTTGTGAAAATGGGCATGCTACTGTCCCAGCGAATTATGAAGACCTGGATGAAGCTAAGACCGAGTTTGCAAGAGCATTACAGAGGATCTGTTCTGTGATATACAATCACCCAAGCAGACGCCCTACCGGGAAAGTAGTATCTGTCATAAAGAAGTCTCCTCGCCGTAGTACTGTTGTAGGTTTTCTTGCTCCTTTCTCAGATTTCCCCGATGGAGAGCAGAGAAATCAGATGAATGTGCAGGGTTCCAAGAGGATGAACCATATATCATCCTCAATTTTCACAGGCTTGGTTCAAATCTTGCCTACTGATCCCAAGTTCCCGCAGATGATTGTTAGTATTAGCACTTTGTCAGACGGTATCAAACAGAGGCTGAAAGAAGGTGATACAACTATTTGGAAGGAATTAGTTGCTGCACAGATTGATGAATGGAATGAGGAAAGTCCCTATCCCTGGGCTTGTGTCGTACACTTCTTGGGAAAGGGTGGACAGGTTGAAACACATATGGATGCTATACTGTTTGAGAATGCAATATCTGATGTTGAATTTTCCCCTGAGTCCATGGCATGTCTCCCTGACACTTGCTGGAAGATTCCGCAAGAAGAACTTGCAGCAAGAAAGGATCTGAGAAATGTTTTGACCTTAACAATAGACCCTCCTACTGCTTCGGATCTTGATGATGCAATATCTATTGAGACAATTTCTGGGGGAATTGTCCGTATTGGGGTCCATATTGCGGATGTTTCTTACTTTGTTCATCCAGAGACTGCATTAGATGCTGAGGCTCAGATTCGATCTACCAGTGTTTACACCTTGCGACGTAAAGTATCAATGTTGCCTTCAAGACTTTCAGAAGAACTAGTTTCACTTAATCCTGGGGTAGACAGGCTTGCCTTTTCAGTTATTTGGGACATTGATCCTCATGGCAGCATAGTTAATCGCTGGATTGGTCGTACCATTATCTTTTCATGCTGCAAGCTGTCATATGATCTCGTGCAAGATCTGATTTCTAGTGATTCAAGCCAGTTTAGATCTGCAGCTGCATCTCTTCAAGTGCATGGCATGTTTAAACATGAGGATGTTATAAAGTCTCTTCGATGCCTCTATGAGATCTCGAAAAATCTGAAGGATATTAGATTCAAGGGTGGAGCTCTTTCGCTTGACACTTCAAAGCCCACGATCCTATTTGATGAAGATGGGGCTCCATACGATAGCTATCGCTATAAAAGGAATGATGCATGTTTCATTGTCGAGGAGCTGATGCTGTTGGCAAATATGTCAGCTGCAGAAGTTATATCCAATGCATTCCCTGATTGTGCTTTACTTCGTAGGCATCCTGAACCTAATCCACGGAAGCTGAAAGAATTTGAGGCATTTTGTGCTAAAAATGGGTTTGAATTGGATTCTTCATCATCCGGTCAACTTCATCTTTCAATTTGCAGATTGAAGGAAGAGTTGCAAGATGATCCTGTTATGTTTGATATTCTCATGTTTTATGCTTCAAAGCAAATGCAGTCTGCGGAATACTTCTGCACAGGGGACCTGATAAGCAAGAAGGATGATTGGGCTCATTATGCGCTATCTATCCCTTTGTACACACACTTCACTTCGCCACTTCGAAGGTATCCTGATATAATCGTTCACAGGACACTGAATGCAGTAATTGAGGCTGAACAGATGTATCTGAAGCAAAGGAAAATATCCACTGGGCGGAATGGAGTCAAAGCTACATCTTGTGAAGTTGTGAGTAGATGCTTTACAGGCCTTCAATTTAGTAAGGATGCTGCTGAATCCATAGAAGGGAGAGAGGCACTGTCTGCTGCAGCTAAGAAGTTTAAGGTCCCTAACTCTGAAGATCTTGGCGAGGCTGCTGAACACTGTAATGAAAGGAAGTGGGCCAGTCGCCGTGCAGAAGAAGCTGGACAGAAGCTCTACATGTGGGCTCTACTGAAGAGGAATGAGGTAATAATGGTGCATCATCATCTTTTATCTCCCGCAACAAAGTTTGTGTTGGTAAGCTTTATTCTAACGGATTTGTGGTTTTACTTTTTGCAGACCCTGGTCTCCAATGCTAGAGTTCTGGGGCTTGGACCAAGGTTCATGTCAGTTTATGTGCCCAAACTCTCGGTATGACTTTGCCCCTAATTCTCATGTAATAGAAGCTCTCCATTCTGTGTGTTTTGAGTCGCCTGATCATGATTTTCTGATGTAGATGGAACGGAGGATATACTATGATGAAGTGGAGGGATTATCTACTGAATGGTTGGAAGCCACCGGAACCTTGGTGCTTGATGCATGCAGGAACAAGCCCCAAAAGAGGGGAGGCCAGTTCAGATGCAGTAGAGCAATTGAGGAAGTCGCGGTGGTGGTGAACCCATCCGAGCTAATGTTACCCGAAGACAGAGATGAATCAGGAGCAACTGAGACTGTGGATTCAGTTTTGCTGAGCGACGAGGCAGTGAAAGTTGAAGTTGCCCCAGCCGTTCTGCCCATGGTGATAAGCTACCTGAGCGACATCCCCGTGGTTCTTCATGCAATCGGTGGCGAGGATTGTCCGGTGGACATCGGAGTAAGACTATACTTGTCGTCATACTTCAAGTGACCAGAAGCAGCTCGTCATGACAGAGAACTATCTGTGAATTTAACTTCGTCCTAGTCGAACAAGACAGTCGTAATAAAATGTGACAGAAAGGTAGCGCTAAAGAGTCGGTCAGGGTTCAGCAGGAAAACATGTCAAGTTAGTGTTGTAGATACTCCTATCGTTACCGTTCTCCATTTCTTATTCACCTCCCTGTGGCATCCAAATGATCGTGTGGTCAAGTGGCCTAACTTTTTGCTCCGAGGCCGCCTGACCAGGCGACTCATATTGGCCGTAGTGTTGTGTATGTGCAGTGATGTATTCACTAGTTCCTCCTTTAGTACTTTTCTTTTAGTGTGAATCCACCTGCTATTTTTTTACCGGTGGGTTCATGCATGATGTTTTGTTACTTCTGAAGAAAGGAATATCACTGCTGAGCTCTGTCCGAAGAATATGTCCAAGCTATTCTGGCCCCAAATAAAATGTATTGGCACCTCTTGTATTTTGGTACCATTTGTGTTCAGCTTATTCAAAGCAGACTGGTTTCTTTTTGTGCATGATTAGTTACTGATCTTGGACCTTGGTTATAGAATCCTACTCTTGTTGCCAGCAGTTGTGCTTACAGTTACAGATAGCGTGCGCCTCACCTGGCGGCCGCGGTTCTACGTAGAGAGCACGCTCTTCCGTTTGTTCCGTTGAGTCAGTTGGATTTGCTATGGCCTGGCGATAACGTCTCTGCCCAGCGTTTATCATGGCGCCTGCTTATCCCACCCCAAAGTTGGTTGAGCAAAAGGTGCAGCAGCTTCTTTCTGGTACGGAAATGACGTCGATAATTGCAACCCCCATTCGGAATTCCTTGGGATGAACAATCTATATTTTCTTGCCACATCGAACGACTGAATATTTGGATATATGAAGAACTCTTTGGACTGAGAAAAGTTTGAAACTCGCTAGAAACTTTCTGAATCACACGTCCAGTTTTATCCGCATCGAGAGACGCACCACATCCGGGTTATTCAGGAAAATTGCTGCTAGGAATTTGATGACTGGATTTCTGTTCGTTAACCAGAAATGCGAAAGTAACCTCGGAGCCATCTTGAGAATTTGCCATCAGTTGCCGCTTATCTTGCGAACTGTTGCTTAGAAGCAGCGCCTCCGAACTGAACCTCATTTTAGAGCGGAAAGCTGAACCCTTTTGCGGTTCATGAGGTGCAAAAGTATACTACGGAGTAGTTTCCATCCATGTTCTTGCAAATTTTCTTGGCTTGGATACAGTTGCAGTAGACGAAGATTTGTAACCGCAGCACATTATTCCATGAAAAATGCTCAAATGCTGTGTCCTCCAAAAGCAGAGGTTCAGGATAACTGACAGTCGTCTTGGCCGGTGCCTTCTTACCGAAGGCGAAGGCTGGCTCCATCACTTGGGCCATTGAATTGCCTTTTGAGCTCATCGCACCGGCCGATAACAAACTCCGGCCGACATATCCACTGGCCCAAAGGAGCATTCAGGACGAGCACGCCGCAAAATGATTTGCAAGTTGCAATCCCGGCATGCTGCAGCACAGTATAAATACCTGGCCACACACACCAGCTGAATCCATCAGTTCTCCACCGTCCTCTTGCAGAGCACACACAGAGCTGAAGACGATGGCGAACAAACACTTGTCCCTCTCGCTCTTCCTCGTCCTCCTTGGCCTGTCGGCCAGCTTGGCCTCCGGGCAAGTCCTGTTTCAGGTAAGCTCCTGTTCGTCGGCAAGAACTGTCTTCAGACTGTGATCATGTTTTCTTTTGGACCGAGGCCTCCTTTGGTTTGTAGGAATCTTATATGAATTTCATAGAATAGGATTTTCAAATGAAAAATTCCTATGGAGCCCTTCAGTTTGTACGAATAAATTTCTATTACTATGTATGATAGGGTTCAATCCTTCACATTTCAAAGGAAAAAAATATTAATCTAGACTCAATGGAAAAATTCCTATCTTATGCATTAAATGACATCTCTTTCTTTATAGAAATTCAGATACATGTCATCTCACTTCATATGAAGTTCCTATTCCTATAATATTCCTATCCTATGAACCAAAGAAGGCCTCAACTTTGAGTTGTGCGTGCGGCAGGGTTTCAACTGGGAGTCGTGGAAGCACAATGGCGGGTGGTACAACTTCCTGATGGGCAAGGTGGACGACATCGCCGCCGCCGGCATCACGCACGTCTGGCTCCCTCCGGCGTCGCAGTCCGTCGCTGAGCAAGGCTACATGCCGGGCCGGCTCTACGACCTGGACGCCTCCAAGTACGGCAACAAGGCGCAGCTCAAGTCCCTCATCGGGGCGCTCCACGGCAAGGGCGTCAAGGCCATCGCCGACATCGTCATCAACCACCGCACGGCGGAGCACAAGGACGGCCGGGGCATCTACTGCATCTTCGAAGGCGGCACCCCTGACGCCCGCCTCGACTGGGGCCCCCACATGATCTGCCGTGACGACCGGCCCTACGCCGACGGCACCGGCAACCCGGACACCGGCGCCGACTTCGGGGCCGCCCCCGACATCGACCACCTCAACCCGCGCGTCCAGAAGGAGCTCGTCGAGTGGCTCAACTGGCTCAAGACCGACATCGGCTTCGACGGATGGCGCTTCGACTTCGCCAAGGGCTACTCCGCGGACGTCGCCAAGATTTACATCGACCGCTCGGAGCCCGGCTTCGCCGTGGCCGAGATATGGACGTCGCTGGCGTACGGCGGTGACGGCAAGCCCAACCTGAACCAGGACCAGCACCGGCAGGAGCTGGTGAACTGGGTGGACAAGGTCGGCGGCAAAGGCCCCGCTACCACGTTCGACTTCACCACCAAGGGCATCCTGAACGTCGCCGTGGAGGGCGAGCTGTGGCGGCTGCGCGGCACCGACGGCAAGGCGCCAGGCATGATCGGGTGGTGGCCAGCCAAGGCGGTGACCTTCGTGGACAACCACGACACCGGATCCACGCAGCACATGTGGCCCTTCCCTTCTGACAGGGTCATGCAGGGATATGCCTACATCCTCACGCACCCAGGGACCCCATGCATCGTGAGTCATCGTACCAATACTACATCATATCTAAATTTTCTTCTCGTTTTTTCGTTCATTATAGAAAACCACGACCGAACTGATGAAAATAATCGTGATTCTCCAGTTCTACGATCATTTCTTCGATTGGGGCCTTAAGGAGGAGATCGATCGCCTGGTGTCAATCAGGACCCGGCATGGGATACACAGTGAGAGCAAGCTGCAAATCATAGAGGCCGACGCCGACCTTTATCTCGCCGAGATCGACGGCAAGGTCATCGTCAAGCTCGGGCCAAGATACGATGTGGGGCACCTCATTCCGGGAGGCTTCAAGGTGGGCGCGCACGGCAATGACTATGCCGTATGGGAGAAAATATGAGCAAAATTACCAAAGCAGCTCTACGAGTTTTTTACAATATGAATGACATACATATTAGTCCGAGCTCACATTGTCCACATAGTACGATTTAGTACTTCCTCCATGTAAAAGTGAGGATGAGGGACATTCATTGTATTTTTGATAAAATAATAATCAATAAGGATTTTTGCACTCTTGGCTTACTTGGTGTTGGTTGAATGAAAACTGAGCAGCCACGACCTCGTACGGGAGCATACCGGAGTAGTGGTAGACTCACGAGCGTTTTGTTACGGAATTGTGTTACGGGGGTTGGGTTTAAAGGAGATAGTACTAATGCTTATTTAGTGTATATGGCAATTACGTAATGATCTTACTCATGATAAAAAGGTTCCTCCAGTGGATATTACTGTTGACTTTTTAGTGAGCTATATGAATTTTATTTGTGATGCGAAGAAGTTGAGCACTGAGGAAATACTCAAAGGGAAAATGCCGGTTGCTGATTGGGCTTTGCCCGAAGTGAGAATTAATCCTGCTCCTAAGCCTTGGCCACCTCCTACTACAAACTTTGTTGCTCTATTAGTTGATGGATCTTTTACAATTGATTCTGGCGCCGCAACCATAGGGATGATACTTCCTCCATGTAAAAGTGAGGATGAGGGACATCCATTGTATTTTTGATAAAATAATAATCATTTCACATTGGAAAACGTTTGACAACGGTGCGCCGGCCGAGTTTGCGCTGGTCACACGCTGCGTCGCCACGCGTCCTCGCTGGCACGCGCTACCTCCCCCCAAAACAGCCACTAAATTTGTGAGGGTGAGTGGAAGAACACGAGCGAGGTGCTGTTACGGAGCTGGGGGTGCTACTTCCACCTCCTCTGCGACTGCGGCTGGGCAGCATCGGGGGGTGCCGCTGGTCACCATGTGCTGGGACCGTGGTCACCGCGCACCGAGAAGCTGGAACTGATGCACCGAGAAGCTGGAACTGTTCGGCCCCCCAGGGCGCCTAAATAGAGCGGCCTGGGGGCGTGCCGGCGCTAGTTCGGCCCCTGGGGGCGACCTAACTCCCAGTCACGCCCCCAAGCGCCGGCCCGAGGATGCGGGAAATTTAAACTTGGTCGTCCCCGGTCGGCCCCTGGGGTCGGTGTGGACGCGTAGGCGGCGGGCAACGAGTAGTTGTATGGAGGGTACTGCACGCCGACGAAGGCGGGCGAGGGTGTGTGCATCGCGGGGTGGCCAT